TTTACAGGGTTATTTCTTTTTTGTTTGTTTGTTTTTATTTTTTTGAGAAAGCAGGATTTATTGAGAGGACAGAAAAGTTCCCATAGTGGAAGGGGACCCAAGGGAGTTGCCTTACAATGTTATTTCTATGTCTCTTGGATGGGAAAGAGGCAATTTTGTCATTTTATAACTTTTGTTATTTTTTCCCATTTACAAGTATTACTTTTATAATTTTCAAAATTATTTGAGGAAGAAAACCCATATATCTGATGAGGTTACTAATCAAAATATATAAGGAACTTCATTTATAACAACAAAAATTTCTGATTAAAAACGACTAGGGACCTAAGCAGACATTTCTCAAAAGAAATCTTAGAAATGACCAACAGGTATAGGAAAATATTCTCAACATCATGAATCATCAGGGCAATGCAAATTAAAATCACAATGAACTCTCATCTCACTCACGCCTAGTGACGATGGCTATTATTAGAAAGACAAAGCATTAAAATTGTTAGGAAAGATGTAGAGAAAGGGACGCCCCTATTGTTAGTAGGAATGTTAATTGACACAACCATTATGAAAAACAGTATGGAGGTTCCTCAAAAAATTAAAAATAGGATCATCACATGATCCAGCCATCCTACTTCTGTGTATATAGCCAAAGGAAATGAAACCACTATTTTGAAGAGATATCTGCACTCCTGTGTTCATGGCAGCACTATTCACAATAGCCAAGATATTTCAACAACTTAAGCGTTTGTTGATGAATAACTGGATAAAGAAAATAGGATATATAACAGGGTGCCAAAAAATGTAAACACACTTTAAGAGATGTTACTTGTGTATTACTTTTAGTTTCCCATATCAGAAGTGTCTGGACACTCATGGTAACCACTTTGAGCACCTCTTGTAATGGCTGAAGTCAAATGTGACTTGTATTCATCTTTTGTGATTGGTATATATTGAGTATTACAATTTTAATACAGTTCTTTCCTTTCTTAAAATGTGTATACATTTTTGGCACCCTTTGTATATATCAATATACATATGTACACACACAATGGAATATTATTCAGCTTCATAAAAAAGAAAACTGTCATTTGTGACAACATGGATGAATTCAGAAGACATTATGCTAAGTGAAATAATCAGGCACAGAATGACAAATACTGAATAATCTCACTTATACATGGAATCTAAAAAAGTCAACTCATAAAAGCAGAGAGTAGAATGTTAGTTGCCAGAAACGGGTGTGGGAGAAATGGGGAGATGTTGGTCAAAGGGTACAAACATTCAGTTATGTGGGATGAATAACTGTAATCTCCCTTATTTGTAACAAAAAATGACATCCAATTATCAAAAAATAAAGCCAGTACAGCCTGTTTGCTTGGTGTTACCGGAATTTCAATATTTTCCAGTTCAACTGGGCCCTCAATGATGCTTGGTATTCTTCTAAGTTTCCTTTGATGTGTTTGTCTGAACTCTAATGTAAAGTTTGGAGACTAATTAATAGTACTGTATTGCATACTTGAAATTTGCTAAGAATCCTGGTCTTAAGTGTTCTTACCCCTTGGCCTCCCCCTCACACCAAGGTAACTATGTGTGGTGGTAGATATGTTAATTAGCTTGATTGTGGTAAGCATTTCACAATGTATACATATATAACATATTGTACACCTTAAACATGTACAGTTTTAATTTGTCAAGTATGCCTCACTAAAGTTGAAAATAAAAGAGTAAGAAAAATTGAAGTCAGAGGTCCTGTATGATAGTAGAAATATAACCATGTGGATCCACTAATTGTTATCAATGGGCCGAAGGATGACATTCCTAGTGCTGAAAGATTTATTTTTGTGTATGAGAAGCATGCCAGTGTTTACAAATTTCCTGAAAATCTAATTTTTATAATGACACTCTCCTCTCCTTGGTGATGAATTTCTTAAATTTTCCACTTGATGTAACTGAGAAATTTGGGCTCAATTGCCTTTCTTCTTGGAAGCTAATGAATGAAATGCAAAAGCATCCTGTGTGTAATCCTCTGGGGAGTCTTTCCTGGTGTGACTGAAGGGGCTGGAGTGTTCTTTGTGATTTTTCTTTTCTTTTTTTTTTTTTTTGAGTTGGAGTCTCACTCTGTCGCCCAGACTGGAGTGCAGTGGCCGCTCCCGGCCACCGCAGCCTCGACCTGCTGGGCTCCGGCGATCCTTCCGCCTCAGCCTTCCAAGTAGCCGGAATTACAGGCATGCGCTACCACGCGAGCCACCGAGCCGGCTCTTTGTGATTTTTCTATCCAGCAGCAGGGAAATTTCTTTGTTGAATTATACCCCTCAGGCAAGGCGCTTGGTGCCCTAGGAACACCTGGCTTAAGAATAACTTGACTGAGCAACAGAGTCTAAAGTTGTTCTTCTTTTGGCTTTCTGCCAGTCAAATGCCTGGCTTTAGGAGGCCCACAGGCAGTTCTGTGGCAGAAAGGAATTCTCAGGGTGCAGGTATCAGGAGAAACACCACGACGGGTAAGTGTGGCTTCTGACTTTTCTGCTTTCCAACCAACTGCTCCTCCATATACAGCACTTCTGGAGTTGATGACAAGCCAGACTCTCATTTTGGTCAAGGAGGAAAAAAAATTCTTATTTTTGTCGTATGTTATGTGACATCTGCAATAATCTAATGGTCCGTTCAAGTTTCAAAATTAATTTAAATCTTGTGCAACTTTTTTTTACAGCGTGGTTAGGGTTTGTGTCATTTGTTTTAAAATCAAATGTTGTTAATTCATTCATCATTAAATACTCTGTTTAGTTTTTAATCTTTGGCTCTTATTTCATCATCAAGAGTTCTCTTCAGGGTCTTTATCTTTTTAAAGGTATGAGAGTTTGAAGATATTCTTGCTCCTGTTATTTTCTATTGTGTGATTACAATAGTTTTTGAATAATTAGCCAGGTAAGGCCGGCACTGTGGCTCATGCCTGCAATTCCAGAACTTTAGGAGGCTGAGGTGAGAGGATTGTCTGAGCCGAGGGGTTTGAGACCAGCCTGGGTAACTTAGCGAGACCTCGTCTCTAAAATAAATAAAAAATTAGATGGGTGTGGTAGCTTGGATCTATAGTTCCAGCTACTTGGAAGGCCGAGGCGGAAGGATTGCCTGAGTCCAGCAGGTGAAGGCTGCAGTGGTCGTGAGTGTGCCACTGCACTCTAGCCTGGATGACAGAATGACACTTCACTAAAAATAATAAATAAATAAATAAATAAATAAATATTAAATAATAATAAGGTTCTATAATGTTAAAAGTAGAGGTAAAATGATAATCTTTCTTTCAGTGCCACTGAATCTAACTTTTCTTCTCGTCCTCCCCACCCCCACTCTTTGTAAAAAATAACATCCAGTTATTAAAAAAAGAAAGGCAGGGACAACCCCTTCAGGTCCCCTCCCACTGTGGGAACTTTTCTGTTTGTCAATAAATCCTGCTAAGCAGGCAAGTTTGGTGTTACCAGGAATTTCATGTTTTCAGGGCCATCTGTGCCCCTTAGTGATGCCTGGGATTCCTCTAAGTTACCTTTGATGTGTTTGTCTGAGCTCTTTGTTGGGCACTAATTTCATACACACATCACCTTCCTCATGTCCCTGCATTCCTGCGGCCTCAAACACTCATCAGAAGCCCCCACCACCTCTTTCTTTCTCTTTCTTTCTCTCTGTCTTTCTTTCTTTCTCTCTCTCTCTCTCTCTCTCTCTCACTGAGCTGCTCTTTCTTATTTCAACTCCTGCAGAGTGCCTGTTTCCTTCTCTCTTATTCCCTTTCTGTTTCAGAAAAAGCCCTCCTCCAGTCTAAAATAACTTCCTCTCTCTCTTCTACCTTTGATGGTATTAGGTGACTTAAAAATCTAGAAGCTTTCTTTTTTTTTCAAATATGGATTACCTAAAGAAAGAGCTAACTATTTAATAAAGAATAGGATATTTGGCTGGGCATGGTGGGGTTCAAGCCTGTAATCCCAGCACGTTGGGAGGCCGAGGTGAGGGGATTGCCTGAGGCTACGTGTTCGAGACCAGCCTGGGCAACTTGGTGAGACCTCATCTCTACAATAAAAAAATCCCCCAAATTAGCCGAGCATGGTAGCATGCACCTGTAGTTTTAAAAACATAGCTACTTGGAACGCTGAGGTGGAAGGATCACCTGGGCCCAGCAGGTTGACGCTGGGGTGGCTGTGAGCATGCGTATCACTGCACTCCAGCCTGGGTGACAGAGTGAGACTCCAACTCAAAAAAAAAAAAAAAAAGGATATTTCTACCAAAACCTAAATTCTTGTGAAACCTCAGATTTTAAATCTTGGATCCAGTATAGCCATATTTATTTGAATGATTGAATGAGACAAAATACACGGGAAAGTACTGGTGGAAACAGAGTGAAAAAATTGATAAAGAGAAAAATTATTTTGACTGACTCCTGTCTCTATTTTCTAGAGTCTTGCTTAATTTTTAGTACATTAAAATTTTGTAATATGTTGAGAGAATTCAATTTCCAATGTTTATATTGCTTAAGTAAACCAAAGAGCCACTGACTTTCTTTTTTGTTATTTATTTTATTTTAAGGTATTGCTATATTGCAGAATTACAATGGGCAAGAAAAAAAAAACATAGCTAGATACATTTTATTTTACTTTTGATCCCTATCTAAAGTTCTTCCTATATGTTTACATGTTGGAACTTTTACATCATATACGTTAGAATTCTAATACCTCTTGAAGTTCAAGTACCTGTCAGCAGAGAGAATGACTAATACAGTGATAACAATTTGGATCTTTACTGCTTCTATTTACTTTTAGTGACAGCCTCTCTTGCTAATCACATTCCATGCCAAACTTCTCTTAATCCAAATTCTTCTCTTGAAATATTGACTTATAATTTAATACTTCTCTTTGAAAGAGAGTGAGGGCTCTCTAAATATTATATTATATATGACATAATAATGATAATGCCTGTTCAGAGATCAGTGTACTTGGAATATTTATCTGGTATTTGTCTTATGTCAGAGAACCATCTGTGACTGAATCAATAAAGGACCAGGAAAAAGACCGGCCGTGGCTGGCATTGCCCTCCAACTGGGAAGACCTTAATGGAACCACTCTGCATGAGCTGCTGGTAAATGGGTAAGGTTCCTTTCCTAAAAGTTGTGCAGAGTCAGAGGATGGAGCAAGGTTTTACCATGAGTGTTAGGTTAAAAATCTCTGTGGGACCTCCGAAAGTGTTTTGTCAGACCCACTGAGGGGTGTGCAATCCAGTGCTGTGCAAAGAATTGCACAGAAGTTAGATTGGAAAATATAGTTTATTTGGAAAGTAAATTAGAGAGAGAAGATTCACCTCCCCAAGGTAGGGGAGGGGAGGCAAAACTAGGAAACATGTCGGCTATAGATCAAAGAGCCACGTGGACACCCCAGAGTTTAACAAAGCAATGGCCAGAAAGTAAATTAGAGGGGGGGGGGAAGAGAGAGAGAGAGAGAGAGAGAGAGAGAGAAAGAGAAAGAGAGAGAGACAAAGAGAGAGAGAGAGAGAGAGAGAGAGATTGAGAGATTCACTTCCCCAAGGTAGGGGATGGGGCCAAAGCTAAGAAACCATGGCGGCCATAGCTCAAAGAACATGGCCTGGCCAGTGCTTAACAAAACAATGGCGAGCACTGTTTGAAGTTGAATGCCTATTAAACCTTCCCTTTGATCAGAGCCTTTCTTCTGTTTTTACTGAAAGATAATCCGAATGTGTCATATCAACAGAGAGCTTTAAGGATTTTGAAGTTATATTTTACTTCTTTCAGAATGTTTCTCAACTTGTTTTGGGCAAATGCTCTTCTCTATACACATAATAATCAGATATGCTCCCTCCTTACCATTGATTCTAAAAAGCAGCCCAGGCTGGGTGCAGTGGTTCACACCTGTAATCTCAGCACTTTGGGAGGTCAAAGCAGGAAGATCCCTTGAGCCCAGAAGTTCCAGATTAGCCTGGGCAACATAGCAAGACCTCATATCTACAAATTTTTAAAAAAAATTAGCTGGCCATAGTGGCATGCACCTGTATTCCCAGCTACTGGGGAGGCTGAAGTGGGAGGAGATCATCTCCTGAGCCTGGGAGGTTGAGGCTGCAGTGAGCCATGCTTGTGCCACTGCACTTCAGCTTGGGCAACAGAGTGAGACTCCAACTTAAATAAATAAGTATAAATAAATAAAAAGTAGCTCATCCCCAACTCTTCTTGAGAATTGTAGTTTGAATCAATATTGTGGGTGGTACCATTTGTCAAAATGATGTGGGAAACTGTTAGAATAGTTTCTTTTCCCACAAGCATGAAATCACATTTGGTTGATATTAAACAAAAAAATAAAATTACCTGTTCTCCATATGCTCCTGCTCTCAAATATCTGACCACAGCCCTGCCTTGAGAATTCCTGCCCTAAGAGAGGTTGCCCAAAGAACGTGACCTCCGGTAACAGTTGATCTGTGTCTTGCCCTTCACTGGCAAACTGTTTGAAGAAAACAGTAAATATGTAACTTAATGTTATGCCATTTTATGTTTCCAAATCTAGGCAGTCTTGTCAGAGCAGAAGTAAGATTTCTCTTCTGTGTAATAAACAAGGTAAGAGATTTAAAAGTGTAGCGATGGAATATGAACTTAACTTGGTTGGCTTCAGGGATGAGTGAGCGCTTATCCATGACAGAAAGACCTAAGCGTTCAACTGGGCTTGGTGTTCCACTGGGCTGGGTGTCCAGTCACACAGACAGTGTCTTCTGCTCTTGGTAGACTGCGGGCGCCGCCCTGCTGCCCGAATGAACAAGAGGATCCTCGGAGGACGTACAAGTCGCCCAGGCAGGTGGCCGTGGCAGTGTTCTCTGCAGAGCGAGCCCAGTGGACATATCTGTGGCTGTGTCCTCATCGCCAAGAAGTGGGTTCTGACGGTCGCCCACTGCTTTGAGGGGTAAGTTGCATCTCTTCTTGCTTTGTCTGGATTTGATCATTTTGTCCTTTGGGAATTCTCAGTGGCAAATGTAAGTTCCTGAAGCCACTTCAGGGCAAAAGCCACGGCTGATCAACTGCCCAGGCCTCTGTCTTGCTGACTTCTTTTTTTTTTTTACCCTCATTGTTGTCATCTTATGTAAGTGCTGCTCATTTACTGGCAGTGGATGCATATTGCTTGTGACGTCTCTTCTAAGGAGGGAAGAAGAGGAAGAAGGTTGGAAGAAGGTTAGAAGCCTGACTCCCCAGCTAGTGTTAGTCTCCTTTCTAGACCGCTTAGATATATCACATGCCAATGAATTTAAACAGAAGTGATTTGTTTGGATACTACCGTGAGATTTGGGTGCAAGAGCAACTGGTGAGTAGTTTGGGAAGCAGAGTTAAGGTATAAGATGTGCATTACTCTTTGTGTGTGTGTATGGTATACATATATTATACCCTTAACTCTGCTTCTAAAACTACACACACACATACACACACACACATACTAATACACATATTGTACCCTAGTATATATTTATAAGCCTCTATATACACATACTATGTATTTATGCACACACATACATATCTATATAAAGACATAGAGAGAGATGAGAAAATGTATTTTAAGGAACTGGCTCCTGTGACTGTGGAGGCCTGGTAAGTGATGTGATGGGGCCAACCGGTAGGCAGGCAGGCCAGACATGAATTGCAGCTGGAGTCCAAGACATTCTCTGGCAGAATTCCGTTTTGCTGGCGAGGTCAGTTCTTGTTCTACAAAGATCTCCAGCTGCAGGGGTGAGGCTCAGCCATGCACATTGTGGAGTGTGATCTGCTTTCCTCAGAGTCCACCAATTTAAAAATTAATCTTACCCTCTAAATACCTTCACAGGAACATCCAGAATAACATTTGGCCAAATATTTGGGTGCTGTGTCAGCCAAATTGATCCATAAAATGAACCCTTGAGATATGCCTGGAGGGAGGAGAAGCGTAAGCCTAGGAAGAAACCTGCTCTAGACAGATGCCTATCACTACGGGGATTGCTGTGTGATTTAGGAGCAAGCAAAACAGCACACAGATCATGACAGCAGCGAAACCCAGACATTCGTTCTCCTCACTGGAGATTCTGGGGGTCAGACACTCAGATAGGGCTGGATGCAGCTGGCGCAGTTTGTCTCTGCTCAGTGGAGATTCCAAGGCTGGAAGTTAGAACTGTCTCAGGTCAGGCAGTTGCTGGGCACGGTGGCTCATGCCTGTCATCCCAGCACTTTGGGAGGCAGAGGGGAGGATTGACTGAGTTCAGGGGTTCGAGACCAGCCTGGGCAACTTGGCAAGACTTTGTCTCTACAATAAATCAAAAAATTAGCTGGCCATGGTGGCATGTGTCTGTAGTTTCAGCTATTCAGGAGACTGAGACGGAAAGATTGTCTGAGCCCAGGAGATGGAGGCTGCAGTGATCTCTAATTGTACCACTATACTCCAACCTGGGCAACAGAGTGAGACAGCAACTCAAAAACAAGTCTGGCAGTCGATGCTGCCTGTGGCTGGGACCTCAGTTCCTCTCCATGTGAGCCTCTCTTCGTGGACTTCACAAAAAGGGAGCCAGGAGGAAGATGAATGACCTTTTTGACCTAGCCTCCAAAGACATCGTTTTTGCTACATGGTTGGTCACAGCTGTCAATCATATACCACCTGATTCAAAGTAAAGAAATGCAGACCTCCCTTCTCAGCAGGAGGATGTCAAAGGATTTGAGAACAGGTTTTAAAACACCCATTTTATTCCATTTATCTTCAACAATTTTACTTTATTGAAAAGTAATATTAAATCATAGCAAACATTTAAGACAATGGTAACCCACAGCTCTATTTCCTAGTTAAAATGATTCTTTTCGTTTGACCATATTAGGAAAAAAATGCAATGTTTTTTGGCCTATTTGCCTATTATTATTTTTTCTTAGCTTTGTCACTTATTGTGTGACCATGAGCCAATTCATTAACTTCTCTGGGCCACCGTTTCCTCTTCTGGGAAATGAAGAAAATGATAATCCTCACCCCACAGGGCTGGTATGGGCATGGAGAGAGAGAGTTCATGTGAAGCCTGGGGAATCATGCCCAGCACCAGCTAGTAAGACCCTGAAAAAGGTAAAAAAAAAAAATTTTTCCTTTTTTTTGAGGTGGTGCTTTAGGCTGGAGTGCAAGGGTACCAACATAGCTCTCTGCAGCCTCGACTTCCTGGGCTCAGGCAATTCTTCTGCCTTGGCCTTCCAAGTAGCTGAAGCTACAGGCATGCATCACCATGCCTGGCTAATTTTTAAATTCATGATAGAGACAAGATCTTGCTATGTTGCCCAGGCTGGTCTCAAGACCTTGGGCTCATACAATCCTCTGGCCTCAGCATCCCAAAGTGTGAAGTTACTCCTGGACATTTTTTTAAAAAGTATTGCTAGCATCTTGCATTCTGTGCATATTTTGTGTGCATTCTGCATGTTCCCTTAGCGTTATGATGTGATACTTTTTCCATTTTGCCCGCCTTTTATCTTCCCCATACTCCCTGCCCTTTATTTCTGGATCCCCCTTGTGGTAACCCCTGTTAGGGCCTGGTTGAATGTGCTTCAGGAGCTAGAAGCACGTACATCTTTCACAGGGTGCTATCATTTATTTTTACAGCTTAGAAGTATTCCCTGTATTTCTGTTTGTAGGTTGCTTTCCTCATGCGGCAATACATCATGGCCATCTCTCCAGGTCAACTAATGGAGCTCTGGCTCATACTTTTTGAAAGCCAAATGATAGTTTAGCATGTAGACTTGCCATAACTTCTTTTATTATTCCCCAGTTGAGGGGCATCTGGTTAGTTACAGTTTGTTGCTATTTTAAAAATACTGCAATAAACCTCATACAGAGTCCCTCACCTACTGGTGCTCTTGTTCCTCGAGGACAGAGTCCTAAAACAGCCGGGAGTTGCAGAGATGGATACCTGCTGTATTCCCTGAGGTGTTAACTTAGTGAGGAGATAGAGACTTAAACAAGTCACTAGAATACAGTGTGATAAGTGATTATGAAATGGAAATGTGTATATTTCATCATCTGATTGCTCTTTTTGTGGAAATTTTTCTTTTTTAAAAAAAAAGCAGGATTCACTAGGAGGACAGAAGAGCTCCCACAGTGAGAGGGGATCCAAAGGGGTTGCCCAGGAAATAAAATACTTTAAACAAATCAAACCAGTACTTTTTCTAGAGAACTTTTAATGCATAAGACCTGAATCACTGGGAGATTCTGCATAGCATGTCAACACAGACACTGCAGTGTTCTTGTTTTGGACAGGGTCAGATGTTTGCAGATATCTTTTCCAGTTCTGATTTGCAACTCCATGATAAGCAGAAGAGTACACTGGCAAGTGTACATTCAACACAAGATGATTGTCTAAATGGAACCAACAGTTCTCAGAGGGAATAACACTCTTCATGTGCTAGCTAATCCATGCTCATACACCACTTCTGACATTTCCAGATGTGGTATCCAAGTTTCCTCTTTCACTGACGAATCTCTAAAGTTAAGGAGGAACCTTGTTGCAATGGAGAAGAAATATGTGTTTATAGTTATAAGACGTGGCTATGATATCAAAGGCTTTGGTGACTTTTATTTAGTGTCATGGAACACTAAACTTAACCAACTGTCAGAAGGGGTTGGGCCTATTCATCAGAAGTTAGAAATTGCTCCACTTCAAACAAGCCATGGCTTGGATGTGTGCTAATAATCCTGATACTGTTTTACCATCTCTTCAATGGTGCTGCAAGTTTGCGGGAACTTTTAATTGTAAGCCTGACTATCCATTGGAGCCATCCCTTGCTGTAATTAATGGAGTTTACTTCACATCTTGATTCCATGTTTTGGCAAACCCTAGAGTGACCCATCTGTAAGTCTTCTCAGCCTCTCTCTTTAGAGAGGGAGTTAAAACTCCCAAATGAAAATTTAAACCATCCGATACTAAGTTGACCAGAGCAAGTTTCCTGTGTTCTAATGACAACTCAAGTTCAAAAGTTCTAAGGAAAAAAGACTTTCTGACTTTCAGGGGGTAATTTAGCAGGCAATTTTCCTGCCTTCTTCTAACTTTGAAGGACTTGAGGATGAACTTTTAGATTGGCACACAACTAGCGATGGTCAGAAACATTTAATTCCTCTCCAGAAAACCTGCATGATAAACTGTCTTTCCATAACATGAGCCCATTCCTTAATCCCTGCCACCCACATCTTAACTTCTGCCATGGCAGTGTTTCAACCCAACGTGAATTTTTGTTGCTTGTCTTTCTGTGCTTCCCTCTTGTCTCCATCTGTCAGTCTCCTTCCTGCCTCCTTTCCTTCCCTGGTTTACCTGGTTCCCTGGGCTCAAATCTTCAGTCCTTTCACCCTTTCACCTTTCAAACTGTCAACCTCTTCCTCCCTAGATCTTCCTGCCAGACACACCAGGCAGACCTTCAAAGTGAATGTGGCATCTCCCCCTCCCCCTTTTTCCACTTTTACTTTAGATTCAAGTGTTATAGGTGCACGTTTATTACATGGACATATTGTGTGATGGTGGAGACTGGGCCTCAGAAAAGGTTTTTCCTCTGGGCCTCTTCCCCAGATAGCGAACTGTACCCAGTAAGTAATTTCTGAACCTTAGCTACCCTCCCCACTTCCCCCCTTTTAGTGTCCCAGTGTCTATTTATTTATCTTTGTGGCCATTTAGCTCCAGTATATAAATGAGTACATGCAGTGTTTGGCTTTCCATCCATGTTGCTGTGAAGGACATGATTCCATTCTCTTTTATAGCTGCATAGTATTCCATAGTGGGTCTATGCCACATTTCCTTTAGCCAGTCAATTGTTGGTGGGCACTTAGGTAGGTTCTGTGGTTTTGCTACTGTGAATAGTGCTGCAATGAATGTATGGGTATCTTTCTTATATAATGATTTTTTCCCGATATTCATGCTCTGCACAACTGAG